GACGTTTCGGGCGTGGGTGCCGGTGGCGTGAAGTAGGCCCGTCGTGGCCGCGGTGAAACTGCGCAGTACAAACCCGGGAGTGGGTCAGAGGCCTGCGTCGGTGCTTCCCGCTTTGAGAGCTGTGGAAGGAGAAGGCGCGCTCGGCCAGCGCTCGCGGGTCCGTGCTTTGCCTTGCAAAACCGCGCTGACCCTGGGTCTTGGACCGCAAAGCCGCTCGGTGCCAAGCGCAAGTAGAGGCAGGAGCCCTTCGGCCTCGGGCTTAGCCGGGAGTGGGCTGAAGAGCGGGAATTCTCTCCTGTCCGCAGGAGAGAGCGTGGTCAATATGAGGTCTTGCCTAAGTCCTCTCGCAGACTTAAAGAAGTGCGCTTGTGTAGTTCCTTAGGGATGCAGTTGCCAGTAATTCCTTTATAAGGACCTTAATTAGCACTGCTATTTTCATATTCCCCTGAGAAATCCTTGTAGCTAGCTAATACGTATACATTAATATTTATAATAATAAGCTAACATTAATTAGCTAATACATATGCATTAATGCTTAAGGTGCATGATGAACTTGGCTTGATGTTGTTCTTCCAAACGCTCTCTAGTTACACAGTTGTAATAGGAAAGGTTAAGTGTTTTGTACGTTAGTTCTTTATATATAATCTATATGCCAATTTATATATGGTAGTCTGTCTTGTATGCAAGTTTGTTATGCAATGAACCTACATATTATTTAGTTTTATTAGTGCTGCTAATTATAACAAATTGTCACTTTGCAGAATAAAGTTAGTAAGCTTTTCAGAATTTACATAAGCATTCCCATTTTACAACAAAATAAAAAACCAAAGGCACCTTTCTGTTCAGACATATGGAAGAATAGCAGTGATCCCTTTCCATTTATTTAGGCCCTCCAGATGAAGAGCCTGAAGTCTGAATAAATGTTTTGGAATGATTATTGAAACACCACAGGTACAACAGGAAATGTGGGCATTTTACAAGGAACACTAACAATATGAGGAGAAAGAGGATCGTGGTTATCTTTAAAAATATATTACCTTTTGGACCAAGGTAACCTATTTAATATATTAATTATGTTTTGCTATCTAGAGAAACCTTGACAAAATCTGTCATGAGAAGAGGATCTTATTCCCATTTGGCAAATCAAAACTGGATCTACTGATCTGATATGCCCATGTAGTCTTTGTGATTCCATGAAGTCCTCAAAAATCAGTGCTTTGCCATGTAGATTTTTTTCTTTTTTTTTTTAAAAAAAAAAGTGACTGATGAACCAGAATGCAGGATTGGAATCTGCTGGGGTTAGCAAGTCATAAATCAGTGTAGGTCCTTTATGAATAAGTACCAGTGAAGTTAGCAGCAGGATATGCTGTATTAGTAATGCTTTAAATATTGCCGCAAAACACCAAGGAGTTAATCACGTGGTTTTGTGCTTATCTAAAATAACAGAATTTATTTTCCAACCAGTTACTCAGTTCACTTGTTAAGGCAAAAAGCTTGGTAACTTCTTTGACAATACAATTAAAAATTATTCTAAATCAACAACCATGGAAATTTGTACTGGCAGAAAGATGCTTTGTGTGGTAAAATTGCATTAAACTAGAGGTTTAATTATTCTGATTAGAGGTAAGACATTTTGCTCTTTGCGCTACTCGTTAAAATAAATACCCTAGTAGAATTTCAGTGTAGCTTAGTCTTTCACTGTTCATGCACCTACTGTAGCTATTGGAAATCTGAGTAATGTTATGTTGGTATATTATAATCTTTTTTCTTTTTTTTCCTAAAGCTGAATTACAGATTGCTGAAGCTGTTGCTCTTGTAGATACCCTTCAGAACTGGACGGTTTTAGATAAAATAATTATTCCTACAAAAAATCCTGACAAGAAGTTTATTTTTGGCAAAGGAAACTTTCAGGTTTTGACAGGTAAGGATTGAGATTTTTCAGCACTGCATCATTCTAAGTGGAAGGCTTCTGCAACTGAACTGTTTAAGGATAGGTATGAAAGCAAAGAAGAATTTTGTTTATCCATCATGCAAACAAACTTTGAAAAGTATTTTTTTAAGGTTACAAAAGCAACACAAATAACCCATGCTCACTGAAAATGTGTGAGGCAACTTAATCCCCACATTTATGTGATTGACATAAATGAAACTGGCAGCTGGTTTACATAGTACTAAATTAGTGCAAATACAACTGTTCTGTAAGCAAAGAATATGATGCCATTTGGTATTTTATGAGCATTCTGCTCAGTGCAAAATGGTTTTATATTCTGTATATTTTTAAAAGGAGAATTGACATTTAACACTATTTTGTAATGGTTGTCCGTCTTTTAGAAAAGATTAAAAAATTGCACCATGTGACAGCTGTCTTCTTGAATGTGGAAAGAATATCTTCACTAACAAAGGTAATTACATGTAATATCAAATCATATTCTTTATGTCAGTATTGTTTGGAAGCTATTGACGTTACGAGAAGTAGGGTACATCATGACTGAATTTGCAAGTGGTAATATGTGAAGCCACCTGGACTGAGTTTTGTTGAAAGGAAACTTAATCCCTGTTACACTTGTCCAGCTGATAGTGTGTTTCCAGCTCTCATGCATGAAATTTTCCAGCAGCCTAAGAGCCATTTAGTATAGACTCTGCTCCAACATTTGCCACTGGCTCTACTTAAAATGTTGGAAAAGTTACTCAAGGTCTTTTTCACAAAATGGAGATGATAACACAACTTTTGTTATGAAGAATGTCAACATTTTGGATTAGCTATATGCACAAGTTTATATACCTATATGGATAGTGTATTTATTGTCCTATAGTTCTGTGGATGCTGTATTGTATTTTGAACAGGAGGTGTAAATTCAGAGCAAGCATATATTTGAATGTTTCAAATATTTAAACTTTCATTCCTACCCCTTAAAAAGAAACTGTATTTTAAATGGACAGATTACGTTGAGGCAAGGAGCATGCTTCCCCTTTTTTAACACAATGTAAAACAACTGGTGCATGAACTATAGATGCTGTCTGAATTGCTTAGACAAGCTGAAATATACGTTCTGGTTTTTGTGCATGTACAGCAGCATGCAGGGTGTAAAGTGCATGCTAAGTCTGCAAGCAAACATTAATTCTTTGCTGGTAGGTTTGAATGCTTTCCCTGATTATAAAATGAACAGAGATGGTAAGTATCTCAAACAGATAGTTATGTTGACCAATTCAGTTTATTGATGAAATGGAAGTTGAAAATGTTTCATTTAAATTTCCAGGTTTTATTCCCTAATTTCTAGTATGAGTACTTTTATTACTAGATTTGTTTAGGAAAAAAAAAAAAAAAAAGGAAAATCACAAATCTCAATCTTAAAAGCAATTTAACAGGGTTGATTCAAGAAAGCGTTTGAGAACATGTATAAAACAAAAGCGTTCTGGATTTTAGAGATAGCAGAGGGGAACTGAGTCCTTTAAGTGTCTTTTGCTGAATCAGAGGAAGGGTGGGGGGTTTTGATTGGGATTTTTTTTAAGTATTTCTGTAGGTTATGAAATAATTTTCCTGCCTTCCTCTCTTTCTGATTTTTTTTTTAATTTCACTGATCTTTTTTTCTTTTCCTATGTTATCCCTATCCTTTCCCATACCAGCATGTCATAATTATTTTTTGCAAGGACTTAACCACTGAGACTCTTGATTCTGAGTTACACTGTAAGAGCTGTTGTCAGAATCCATTAAAGGCGATGGAAGGATTCTCGCTGAATTTGATGGGCCTGGACATAAAGTTCTACCTTCTAAACTCTCTTTTTCACCTTTCTTCATGGTCCACCAAATTTTGCCTGTACGTGCTCATAATTATTACCCATCCATTGAAATGGAATCCTGAGATCATCCGAGTTCAAGCGTCTACTAGCTAACTGCAGCTGTAGTGCTGTGCAGGAATTGATCTATTGACGATTGTGAGGGACAGAAAACATCTGTTTTGTCTTACATGGCTAAAGAAAGAACTAGAAGATGCCTGGGGCGTGAAAGTCTTTGACAGATACACAGTTGTACTTCACATTTTTCGTTGTAATGCCCGGACGAGAGAAGCAAAACTTCAGATAGCGCTGGCTGAAATTCCACTTCTCAGGTACCTTGAGCTGTGCAAATCACATACTGATATTTACATATTTGAGTGACTATTTCTCTACAGTAACAAAAATGGTAATACTGTACTGTAAAGAAAAATGACACTGTTTCAGTGCTTGCATGGTATGCTCAATGATTGATTAGAGGACAGAAATACTTGCTTTAACGTCATTGTTTTAAGCTTCTGCAGTGCTGACAGGCAAAACCAGAAAGTGTTCAATAGATAATCTCACAAAATATATTTCTCATGAAAAGTTCCTGCTTCTTTCTAACATGGAAGATGGATTGCAAGAATGTGTAGGTATTGGATATGTGTATCCCATATATAATATTGATGGGTTTAATAAGGAAAGCTGTAAACAGGGAAGATTAAAGGCATTAATTTGTACCTGAATTTTCCACATTTCTGCATTGCATGGCATAGAAATATTGGTGCATAGAAGTTGGTGAGAGTTGTGTGGATTTATCAGAGGCATCTTTGGTGCTCTGAAATTTCCAAATAGTCATTATAATTTGCTAAGAGAGTTGCATGATTTTTCAAACCACGGTTGAGGAGCCAGGAAAATCTGGATTTTTTTTTTTTTGCCAGGCTTCTCACCATGAGCAGGTTTTATATAGAGCTCTGTCATTTAGTGGTTTTATTTGTACTGTTAGAATATTACTACTGCTTTACATTTGTTAGCCATTTTAGGATAGCTTGACTAAAGAAAATTGCTTCTAATTAACTGTTACTCCACTGCTACTCCACTGCCAGGTCAAATCTGAAAAATGAGGTGTCTCAGCTAGATCAGCAGAGAGGTGGATCAAGATACATCATGGGCTCAGGTAAAGTCTAAATAGTCTCATGAATTAAAGGAATTTTTTTTTCTCCATACCCTTTAAACAAATTTAATTGCATCTTATTTGGAGGAGGCCGGGAGGAAAAACTGTTTGTGTTCTGCATCTAACTAATTGAATGTATAAAAATTTATTGGAAAGTAACCTAAATAATAAAGTTCTAGTCTCTACTGGCTCAGTAAGTGGCCATGGACAGAATATTTGCTTATTATCAATGTTTATCATAAGTATACATTGTTATTCTAGAGTGCTTAGCATATGTTTTAGCAATTACTTCTCACTCTGACTCTTATCTTAGGCAAGAATACATAGTTACAGTTGCTTATTTATAACTTCATATGCCGTAGCGCTAACTCACTTGATTTCCAAATACACATCACTTGGTTTACTGGTTCTCTTGTAGACTGTTCTGCCAATTATTCATTTGTATTCTTCAGGTGAAACATTCATGGAGACACAGATTCGTATCTTGAAAGAAAAAGAACTTAAGATTAGGAATGCCCTGGAGAAACTAAGAAGAAAAAGGTCTTTGCTTAGAACTCAGCGCAGAAAACGCGAGTTTCCAATTATCTCAGTAATGGGCTATACTAATTGTGGTAAGCAAAAACTCATGAAATTGTAACACAAAAGAGCTTACATTATCTAATTTTTAATTTAGAAACTCTAGCCAGAATCTCATTTCAGTGTGAATAGGCTTCATATTTTAACTAGTTTTTAAATTGTGTAATGAATGTATGTCAATTAAGATTTAGTTAGGAAAGCAAATGATGCTTGTTATAGTTAGATATTTTTTTTTTCAGTCTTGCAGGCATGTTTTGGAGAAATGCCGAGCACCTACTGTGTCCAAAAGATTTTGTATATAGTGCTGAAGACTGTTCTGCTAGTGTCCCTTCATATGAATCTTTCTTACTTGATCAGAATGGGCTGAAGAAAAAAGTACCTGGGTGTTTAGATCACTGTGAAGGCTTGAGGCACAGGAGGAAAATTCAGGAGAGTTGGCAGTTGATACGAGAAATGTGCTTAAGAAACACTGTAGCTTTTCATCGATTAATGTATAGTGTTCTGAGATGTGTTCATAAGAGAATCTAAATAACGCTAAAGGTTGGTTTTTTTGTTTTTAACTTGGACAAGTGAATTCATACACAGGGTATAAATAGACTTCGGAATAGACACTTTTTTCAGGTTACATTATCTTAAGACCATTTCATTTTCTTATTTAACATCTTTGTAAAGAACAAACTTACCTTGCACTAATTTTGTTACTGTTATATACTCAAAGATTTGGATTAGGGGGGTTGGACTAGATGACCACTAGTGGTCCCTTCCAACCCTAAACATTCTATGATTCTATGTTTTTTCTTAAATGTCATACTTCGTACTTTTAAAGCTGAAGGTTCAAGAAAAAATATATACTACAATTTCGTATACTTAACTGAAATATTTTAACTAGGGTACATACTGAGCATTCCAGCTTAATGACTAAATTCTGTGAAATATTCATTGGGTTAAATAAATGTCTCCAGTATTATGGTCATGAGGAAATGCCCAATAAAAGCATAAACCTAATAAGCTACATATTATTAGTGCTTCTGTTTGTTGTTAGATTTAACAAGTAAATACTGAATTGTTTTATTTGACAACAGAAGCACCAAGGAGTGCCTAAGTGTGTACTTCCTAATGCTGTCATGGCAGCGCTCTTCAGATAGTCTTGGAGGTGAGACGTGTGGGTAGGTCACTTTGCAGGTCAGTTCAGTCTTTGATCATCTTGTGATTTCACAGCGTAGCTTCCAGACATGGCCTTAAATCCAATTCTAAGTTATAAAATTAAGACTGTCTTTGGATTTCCTGACGTCATATAGATAACTAGTCATAGGCTAGATTTAAATTAGTTAAATAGATGTGAAAAGATATGTTACGTCATACAACTCACCTGAGCCTTGCAAATTAAATTTTTGCTTGAAACAAGCCATTAAAAGCTTGTCCTTTTTTTCTTAGGAAAAACTACCTTGATCAAAGCTTTGACTGGAGAAGCAGGACTTCAACCCAGAGATCAGCTGTTTGCCACTCTTGATATTACAGCCCATGCTGGCTACCTGCCCTCACATATGGCAGTTATTTACGTTGACACTATTGGGTTTCTGACGGATCTTCCACATAATCTGGTTGAGTCCTTTTCAGCTACTTTAGAAGAAGTGGCTTACTCAGTAAGTAGGTGACTATAAAAATTGAGAAATCAAATTAATTCCCTTTTAAATAATCCTCACCCTCTCAAAAAAAGGGGAAGTGAATTGGCATGCTGTTCTTAGTGAAGTATCTGGCTGACTATAGTGGTCTCTTAAGATAATGAGGTATGTATCTTACCATAAGGCAATTTCCTGATGCTTGAAATTACGCAAAATATATAGATATGAAAAAAATTTCAGAAAGGGCTTATTTGGAGTATATGTCCTTCTCCATGATACACGTAAACTGGACAAACCTGATTTTCCTGATCAAATGTATGGAAACCTAAACAGTGCATCAGAGTAAGTTGAGGCTAGCTTTCTTGAGAGTTAAAAATGAAATAAAGCCTCTGGAATGATCTGTTTTCAACTTACGGTTTCCTACAGCACTAAAAGTGGATGACTGTGATGTGATGCAGGCAGCATGTAATAAACATAAATGTACTTTTCCAATCATTTTCTCATTAGTTTCCTGTGTTATAGCAAAATGTAAAGCTGCAGATAGACAGACATTTAAACAAAAAGCCCGTATCGTCAAAGGTAATGAAATTCAGTGGTAGCTGGATGCCGTAATGCTTCTGAGGATTGGACTCTTCACCATGTAATAACAGGGCATTCAAAAGCTGGCTGCAACTATCCTGTTTGTCTCTTATTCTGAAGTGTTAAATGAAAGGCAAGAAATGTACTTCTTACTAATTTTCAGAAGCCTGAAGCGGTATCTTGAGCAAAGATGATGAAACATTTTGAACGTAAATATTGAATTTGGTTGCTTGGTTTCTATCATGGCAAACATGATCATGTGTGTACTTGAAACTGGTTACTCTTGTGTAAAGCTTTCTAGGTGAAGCACCAGTAATAGTATCTTAGGAATTAAAAATAAGGAGAAGGAGAGTCTTCTGCATTTCGCATGTAAAAATAGAATTACAAGTTACATGGGGGTTTGTTCCCCCATTTTTTAAACAGTTTTTCAGCAGCCATTACTTTTCTAAAATGTTTTTAGAGTTCACTCTTTTTCTTCTCTAGTATTTTTGAAGCCTTACTGTTACACAGCCTTGGTATTGAAAAATCAGTTGTTGTTTGACATCGGAATTCTATAACTAGCTTGATTGACAGGGTTTGTTTCAGGGTTGTTGGAGGCAATTTGTACTCACTGTGAAGTGAAAAGATAAGCTACAGCTTTTCTTCCAATATGGTACGAAAAACTGTATTGCTTTAATACTGTTTTAGTAGTTCATTTTATAGTGTTAACCTGCCAGTGTATTATCTAATGGGTAGGAAAGTATCTTATATGAATTAGCAATGCGAAAATAGTATAAAATCTCTACAACCCTGGTAACTGGTGTGTTTCATTAAGTAACTGTCCAGTATATTCATGCTTGCTAGGATCTGATAGTTCATGTAAGGGATATTACTCATCCGGAAACCGTCCTTCAGAAAGCAACTGTTCTGTCAGTTCTGAAGAATCTTAATCTTCCCAGCCATTTATTGGACTCGATGGTGGAAGTTCATAACAAAGTGGATTTGACAGAAAGGTAAGCAGGAGATGCTAAGTGTACTTAAACATTTCTTATGTTCTGGAAGCTTTTCTAGATGAAGAATTAAAAAGAGCTCCCACACTTCTGAATACATTTAATAGTGTTTCTCAGTCTTTTACGTATGTAACTACATCCATGCCTGGAATATTTTCACAACCTAATCTTCATGAGCAAATGTGCTAGCAATTGTTACCTTTCAGGTATAAACCCACTGAAGAAAATGCTTTAGCCATTTCTGCTCTACATGGACATGGTTTAGAAGAGCTGAAAGAAGAAATAGAGAAAAAAATTTTGACAGCAACAGGGAAGAAGATTCTGACAGTTAACGTCAACTTAGAGGGACCTCAGCTAAGGTAAATAACTTTGAATTGTAAGAAGAGCTTGGAGAAATACGAAACTGTTAGCCTTGCATTTCTTAATTTCCAAATCATATCATACTGATTTTAATCTGCGTTAAGAATTACAGTGATAATTACCAAAGTTTTATGGCCTATTGAGAAAAAGTATCCCCAGTAGATACCCTGGAGTCTGCTTCTGAGGGTTCACAGGGTTCTGTGTGTTGGTATAATACTACATACTTCCTGAAAGACTGTGCCACTGGTCCTGGAGCCAGATTTCTGATGAGAGGCAAATCTGAAAGAGTTACGAAAACCCTATACCCTATTTGCAGACAGCAAGTAGCAAATGAAAAGTTAAGTGAAGCACTTCATCTTTTCAAGTGTTAAATTACCTAGATTGGAACATGTTGACTTAAAACAAAGATCACCTTTTATGCAGTATGTCATACCTTTTAAGATGCTAACATGCTTTTATTTCTACAGTTGGCTCTATAAAGAAGCAACAGTTCAGGAAGTAGAAGTCATGCCTGAAGATGGCACAGCCAGGGTGAAGGTGATAATTGGCAATTCTGCTTTTGGCAGATACAAAAACCTCTTTCCTAACAGTAAGATTTTTATGCCATGAAACTGCATCCTTTTCTAGGAAAAGAACCTGATCTCATTAAAAGGATGTGAAATGAAGTTAATGACCTGTTAGACTGGGTGTTGAAGAGCATATTTCTTCCCTTGTTGATGTTTTTGATGCATTTTAGAAATGGACACTGTTTCAGAAAACTTCTGTTTGAAGTGCAAAGCTCTTGCTGTTTCCATTCTGTCAGCAAGTGCAAGGACAGAACTAAATTTTTGATGTTAAAACAGTTGTTGGCTCTAAGGTGTGGTCCTCAAACACATGGAAATCACTGGATGGCAGCATCTGAATTAACATTCAGAAAAGTACCAAGTTTTTTATATCATATAAATAAAGCTTTTTACCCTATGTTTCAGAATAAAGTAATATTTAAGGTCCGTGGAGAAAGTTAGTGAACAAAATGTTGTTGGCTGTATATAAATAATACAGATTGGTTCATGCATTCTGCTTTAATACATATTTAAGTAAAAAAACTGCCATGTCTTATTGCAGTAAGCAAAAAAATAGATTTGTATATTTAAAGCAATGAATAAAGTTAGCTGTGAACATGTTTTACCCATACAGTTTCTCGCCTATGGTAATTTATCCACAGTAACTATTATCTTGTGTGAAATTGTGTCACAAAGGAAAAAGAAAAACGAAAACCAAACCTGATCCATTACCTGTGTTATGAGTTACTACTGGGAACCGATAAAACAATCAGTATCACAGAAAGTGGAAGCAAAACTATTTCCATCCATATTACACAAAGAGATCAAGTTTTATTAGGCAGAGTAACAAGCCACCTGAGAGTACAAAAGATAGATAGGCAGAAAAACATTCTCAGTATGTATAGCATAATGCTACATGCAGGTAGTGACTCAAAAAAAAAAAAACCCACAATGGAATGACTGCTCAGTATGAAGTATACAGAGGTAAGACCCAAGGATAAAAAGCACTGTAAAAAAGCATTTAGAAAGTTGTCTTTATAAATTGAATGTTTGGGTTTTTTACTTCTACCTATTCTGCAATTGCAAGACATTGCATGAGGAGGTAGCATCTTAGCCTCTCACGCTGAGAAGTTAAGGGTGAGTCTGATCTGATGTCAAGTAGCAGTTGATTACAAAATTCTGCAAATGAGAACATCCTGGCCTTGCCAGACGCTTGAACTCAGCTTTTGCATATAAAGTGCATCTAAGAAGTGAGGTATATTGATGAAGCTGCATAGCTGAAGTTGATACAATGCCTGGTTTTTAGTCCCCATGCTTGCACTATTCTCTTGCCTTCATGAGCATCTGTTATTGCACAGTTCATTTAAGAAAATAGAAAAATAGGATTAAAATGCAATGGCAAACAACATAAACCCCTTTGTTTTTACATAAGCAAAAAATACGGAGAGGAAAAATAACTATAGAGCTACTAAATTAGGTCAATAAAAGACCAGTTGTGAAACCCCAAATGAGTGTGACAGAAGCCAAGAATCTGTATTTTTGAGAGCCATCTGAGTTTAGATAAGGAATTTCTTTCTCATGTGTTGATTTTCAATGTAAGGCAGAGTTTAGCAACACCTAGTAAAGCATACTTGATTACCACAGACCAGACTGTCTAGGGGCCTAGTTCTGGTATCTTTATCACTGCAGAATTGCCATGAGTGAGAAAAAGAAGAAATGTTCAAATAGCCATGCCTCTTTCTCACGAATCATAAAGAATTTTGTGACTGCCCTGTCAGTAAAGTGGCTCACAACAGATACTTAGCCCACAACAGTACAGCCGCTTCTAGATCTCTAATGTTAATGACGTGTTGGTGTATATATAAAAGTCATGTCCAATAGGATCATCAATATGGTATCTTTGATATACCAAAAATATTTTTAAACTGTTCCTTTTGTATATTTAACACAAACTATGAGAACTGACAAGTCAGATTCACACTTGATACAAAATACTGAGAATTGGGGTTGCCAGTAGTGCAGAATATCTTTGCAATTATAAGAAAGATAACATTTTCTCACAAAATAATTCATGTAGCTACTGACATATTTCTCCTTACTCATATATAAAGTACAATAGGATTAAGTTCTTGGGACTTTCAATATTGCCAACTGCTACGGAATCCGAGCACCTCCAAGTAAATGATGCCTGCACCATAGTTCTCTAGAGACTTCAGCCAGGTCTGCCTGCTCTCTTTTCTGTGAAAAGGCCTTACAACCCTGATGATGTTGAGAGTGTTTTTCTTAAGTCTTTTAAAACAGCCCTGGTTTAAGTTAACTGGGCTGTTATGGGATCCAGGATTTTTGAACCAGGACACGTTAAATGCAGGCAAAGCCTTTCCAGCTTTTCACAGATTAAGCAGCTGAGAATGAAATGCTGTTTGTTCCAGCCCCTTTACTTTGACAGTGTAATGGAGGATTAATTTTTGCGTTAAGTTCTATCACATCTTTGACAAAATCATTGTTTTCTATGAAGTCTCCAGCAATGATGTTAATACATTCTTTTTTTGGTCCTGGATACTGCTGCTTTATCCAGATTTTCAAGCACGGAAGACTCCGGAGTGTCATTTTCTTCAACGATCCAAATGGGTGTAAGAGAATATACCTTAAATTTTCAGTAAGGTTTATCCCCGCTACAAAGAATTTTTCTGAAAGAAAAATCATAAGGTGACACATTAAATATTCCTTTGAGGAGAACAGAAACTGCTGAGCATTGCATTAACTCCGGATCTTGTTCCTCTGGGAATCATTAAAATAACGAACCTCACAATCCTCCTGTATTGTTTCATATCCCTAGAACTGTTTCAGTAGACTCTCCCCTTGTTGCAACTGCACGCTGTAGCAAATAGTTACTGAACCCAGCTCAGTTGTTGAACCCTTCCAGCTCAGCTAAATTTATCTGAATTACTCATTGCAGACTAAGGGTTCTCCACTAACCACTCCTCCTTTGTAAATTAGGTTTGTTTCTGTAAGCGTTGCTTCCAAACACTTAGCCTCCCCCCCGTGATGGGCGGGAACATGGTGTGCACCTACACCAGCGGTTTCCTTTGGCGGGGGAGCGTGCTTTTGAAGCAGTTCTCCCCTTCGTCACCCCATGCGCGCACATCACCGAGCTGCGTCAGGGGTCAGGAGATGAATTTCTTTTAGCTTAGAGAGCGCTGCTATTTCCTGACATAGCTACGGCCTTCACGCCCTGTTCTTGCAGGGGTGTCTTTTCACAACAGGACTAGCAGAACGCATTTCCCCCGTCATCGGCGCTGCCGAAAGCAGCAAGCAGCGGGTTGAGGAAGCACTCTCCTACCCGTGAGACGGGCATGCCAGCGCCAGCAAGCTGCTCTGTGCTGCAGGCTTCTTTTCCATGGGATGACGCAAGTGAAGCAGCTGCCACAATTTATATACTCTATGCACGTACGTACCCTGACACAAGTATTTGCACCACCAGAGATGAATGTTGTACTCGCCTATGGGTGGGCAGAGCACTCGGCAACACAGGCGCACCTCGCACGCGCAGCATGCACAAAGTGGTTCCATCCCATAATGCTATAATCACCCAACTTGCTATTTGTTTTGCATTGCTGTTCGTGCCCCTTGTTTCCCCTGAGCGACCCCCCCGTGCCTACCTGGACGGCCCATCCGCTTCATGTGCTCTAAGTAATGGATAAGAGCGCGAGTGGAGGTTTTGTTTCCCCACCAGTAGGGGATGGCGGGCCACAGCTCACAGTGCTCCTCCACTTCCACATCCTCTTCGTAGGAGACTATAAGCTGATGGCCACGCTGCCACATGGTCCGCAGCGTCGGCACCACCTAAGAGAAAGCGTGCCCAGGTTGAAGTCAGCATGTTCCCAAAGTTTAAATACTGACGTGTGACGTCACTGCCTTGGTAGAGAGGCACAGATTCGGTTCAACTAAAGCTGTTAAGCGTACAGCCCAGCAGGTTGTTGGCTGGGTTACGAACTGCATGGGCAATAGGAGCCTGGGAACTTCAGCAGATTCCTCCTTTCCTCAAACAATTCAACTACGGTAAAGTAAATAACTCAAGGTCTTACACCAGTGTTAACATGAAACCATCCCCGTGTCGGCCCTCATGCACATACCGCTGCTGAAAATTTGTTGGGAGAGGAAGACACAGGCCATTTGGTGCAAGGAGGTAGGAGGGGAGCAAAGCCCTACACCCAGCTGTAGGAATACTGCCACAGAGAGGCAGGAATGATACCGGCAAATGCCCCACATCGATCCAAATTTGTCACTCTAGCCATCCAAGAAAATTGAACTGCTTAAGACTTGGTAAGATGAAATGTCAGTCTTCAAGAGGTATGTTCATCCTGATTTCTCTAAGTGGAATGTTTCTGAAATTGGGGTGCCCCAGACGTTTTGAATTGAGAGAGGGGAAGACTTGAGTCAGAAACCTTCTCAGACAGACAGGCTGAAACAGGTCTGTTAAAGTGTTTCAATAGAAAATGATATTTTCCAAGCCTCAAAAGTTATCATTGGACAGAACCGAGGCCCTCGGACTTAGTTTTATTTGCAAAACCAACATATTTAACAGGTATTGGTTTTTTAAGAATGTTGTGGTTAAAAGCTGTGTCTGTTGCTTGTGAAAAGGAAATGGTGGCTTTTTGATCTTCCAATTAACTTACTTATTAATTAAAATAAAAGCCAAAGGCAGTTGGAAATGTTTTATGTAAATCTTTTGAAGAGAGCCGAGGGTTGAATGAATGGGAATCCCTCTTACTTCATCCAAGAGAGTGCAAGCCCCAATTAGGTCAGAAAATACTACAAAACTAAGACACAAGCTACTCAAACTACAAAAATCTGTGGCTGACAGAAGCCTTTGCTTTATTCCAGCTGCCTTTCTAAAGCTTGAACCTCTTAAAAAGAAAAAAGGTGTGGGCTAAGAGCCAAAAAAAAAGCTACCAGAAATGTGTACATGAGCACAGGTGTTTGTTTTGCAAACAAAGCAGAACTGAAACTGTAGATGTCTAACAAGGGATTTTTAAACCCTAGTAACCCAGATCAAAGGAAGACACCTTGAATAGTTAAGGCAATTAAAATTTTAAACGCAATGTTCTGTTGTCACGCTGTGGCCTGTGCCAGTACTACACACAGATCTCTGCGTAGTTGCTTCATAAATACTTTTTGACGCTTACTTTTGTGCAACGACAGATTTGCAGTCTTGAAAGACAGTAGATACCAGATTATTTTAAGAGTAAGTGAGCGAGCACTTGGGTAAATCTGCATGTGCATGTGTGATCCTGAAAAACCCCACAGGTACCTAACCTGCAACGGTATCGCTTGCAAAAATGGTGAGATCCATTGTGCTGGCCACAGACCCCATAGAAATAACGCCTTCCTGCTTGAGGGAAGTTACTTGGCTTCTCTCTCCTCCAGTGCCCTTCCTCCCTCCCCCTGGGCACAACTCAGAAACATCCTTCTTTCTTCAGTCAGGTGATCTCAAACCA